AATATAAAAAAAATATATTTGTTATTAACTCTGTGCCTCAATGCTGAATTTATTTGTAACTATCATGTCCAGCCTTGGCATTATTAATAATGATGAAGGGAAAATAAGAGACTGAAGGATAGTTATTTCATGTCGAGATAGTAAAGAAGATTTGTAGCTCAGGTAAACTATGAACAAATACATGACCAAAAAATCAGATATAAAAGGAGGTGCAATAAAAATAATGAGGCATATAATGACACCATTGGCCGGACACTATTAGCAACAACCAACTGTGGGAAAGAACAAACCACTTCCCAGTGGAAGAAGAAATCAGGAAGAAGTGCTGGTAGTGAATAGGACACACAATGAAGAAAGCACCCATCTGCGTCATAAGACAAGCCCTTATATGGAATTCTCAAGGCCAAAGTAGGAGAAGAGGAAGATCAAAGAACACATTACACCGATAAATGGAGATAGACATGAGAAAAAAATGAACAAGAATTGGATAGAACTAGAAAGGAAGGCCTAGGAGAGAGTGGGTTAGAGAATGCTGGTTGGCTTTCTATGCACCATTAGGAGTAACAGGCGTAAGTCAGTAATTTTCAACAATCAAGTATATGAACAAATCAATAATTGTTCTATAGGATTCTTTTCTTAAATTATGATGTAATGAATGAATACCAAAGTTCATTTAATGATAATGTATAATCAACAACAAAAATAGTATCATTCATGTTGAAAGTATAGTAGTTTAAAATTAATTAATGACGTTTTTAACCATAATAAATTTGCTTCAAAAACGACGAAAATATAACCGAATTAATGTTCTCAATAAATTTGACAGTATAAATGGCTAAGACTATTGCTTTATATGGTGATATTCAACGGTTTAAATTCTTCCGTTATTAATATTAAATGATTGCAATTTATCAGTTCTTGTCAGTGTATTTGAATCCTGAGTAATTGCCTTAATATTGAAGATGCCACAGGTATTCGGAGTTTGACAACGCTTTAACCAGTAACACCTTCTAATATGAATCATACCCACCAAGTGAAATCAAAAGACAGAAGCGAGGAGGTTCAAAGATATATTTGATAGGCTATTAATATATGAAGAATCATCTGATCTAATCTGGCTAGTGATTGCAGGGGTTGTTGAACACGGCGTTCCCACTTGTGTTCTGGTGTGGATGCATGACCGAGCACCTTCAGCTAGGTGAGTCTATTAAAACTAATGTGGTCAGCATCCAATGTTGAAGACTTACAGAGCTATTTATTTTGGGGATTTATTTACCGCTACAATATTATCTTCAATTACAAATTTTTGATTTATTTAGATTGTGGCTAGTAGTAGGATTCAAGATATTCGTTTCACTCTATTCAGTAATACTCCTGCTATGATTATGACTTATTATACATTCAATAGAAGTGAATATATCCTTATTTTTCCCTTCAAATTATATCATCCATTGATAAACATTCATTTATTGATTGATTACATTCAACTGAAAGCTTCAATTTATGAATGTTATATATCAGTGACCTAAGATTAATTCTACACCCACGTTTTGACCTCAATGAGAGTATATCTACTACAAATAATAATAACAACAAGTAAAAACCTTTTGTAACTCATTAAATCTTCTTTTATTGAAACAGTTTAGATAATTAAGGATAAAAATTTACCAAAATAATCATATTATATTACATGATGTATAGATATATATATAAAAGGCATCAGTCTTGTGACTTCCGAAGGAACTGGGCTTCCATCATGAGGCGTCATAACTCTTTTAAATGAAGACGTTCTAACTCCCAGGGTAGAGTTTAAATGATTTGAATTATTTTTTTCTGGTCAGCGTTTTTTACTGAGTTAGCTTTCTACGAGATGAAGTCGGTAACTTCATGCCCAACCATACTCCTTTACATGGGCTTGGGACCGGCAGTAACTCTAGAAGAGCTACAGGTGGAGTTATGTATAAATATACTACTTTTAATTGACAGTTACAGTTGGATAAAAAACATATTGTCACCACTGTCATATTCGTTATAATAAAATCAAGTGAAGAGTTTAAACTGTTGTAGGTGTTGTATTGTGTTTGTTGAGGATGTTAAATCCACAGAACTCGCTTGGTAAATACCTTACATTGTAATCTTATCTTAAAATTTTGAATTTTCTTGTTTTCCCGCCAAAAGCGCTTATTTTTACCTTCATTTTGTATCTTCCACTTGGGAGAATCTTAAACTCTATTGGTTCATTGTATCTTTTAGTATGCTATTTTGTAACACTTCTCAAGGACAATTTTATGTTGTATTTATAAGTTTGACTTGTGAGATGATGGAGATTCGGACTTATGCCTGTTATTATTACTCGTGCTTCTGACTGCTTGCGGAATATATTTCCCCATTTAAAACTTGTACTTCTCTCTCTAGTTAGCAAGTCTGGGACGCATCAGAATAGCTAGTTTATTGGTCTTTGGTCACAGAGTCTTTGTTCCGTTCTCAAATTAGGTGAACGCGTAATCGCTTCAAACATAGCACTGTTCTAAGCTGGGTGATTCAATCATAAAGCTTTAATTGTCTTCCATAGATAGTATTATCAGTATATAAGATTAGATTGGTTATTTTACATAATTATACTGTTAACCTAGAAAACTTTCGATCATCTTAAAAGGGACTGGAACTAATAATGAAAGTTAATACAACTTTTATCATAACAATCTTTTTTTTAATAAATCGGTTGATTCAATTTCGAAAGATTTCTGCATTTACTTTAACTCTATCAGCTGTATTGAACATTCAATGTTATTAAATCTGAATATGATATTAATTTTTTATGTTTTAGCGTATATTTTGTTTATTGAGAATTTAAATGCATACACTGTGATATTGTTTGAAGAATATTTTGATTAAAGAGTTTATGTATGTTAGTGTGATTTATTAGCTGCATTCGTTGTAGACTGACATTAGTTAGGATATAACTGAAAATCAAGGAGCAATGAACAACTGATCTTCTCTTGGTATGTAAAATCTCGAGAGTGCTCTCCCTCTACAATTCTAGAAACTCAACTCAGTGGGCAGTTTGCATATTATTTTTATACTATTGAGATGGAACCAAACAGTTCACATTTCAAATTTCTGTCATTTCATAATACGATATAATGGTCGTTTATCGGTTTACAATTAGCATAATGTCTAAAAGATTTGGGTTCAATTCACAGCGGGATAGTACATAGTGATTGCTGAGGCATCATATACTAGATGGGGGATAGATTTGCATCACTTCCTGGTTTTAAGAAGTAACCAAATAACAGTTGAATTCACGAATCAAGATAAACTAGATCATCATCATTGAAAACCTCGAAGTACTGAATGGCTAGTTCGTCCCAGTTCGGGCAACCCTCAGTAGTGCGAATCCATGATCCCACATGTGGAGCTCACACCTAGCACCTTTGGTCTCACACGTAAAAACTTAATCTCTAGATCACTGAGTCAGCATTCGACGGTGTTAATGTCTAATTCCAATCGATCCATGATCTAGCTCAACCCCTCGTTGACGATCTGAGGTGGATAACAGTCTTTACTCGACACAGATTGAACTCCACTGGTCACGACTTCCCATTAGAACACAAGGAAATTCATTTTGAAGCTATTCACTATTGAGCACATGATTATTAACAGTATGGAGATTTGTGAATATAGTAGTATTTTAACAGTTGAACTCAAGAGTTTATTGAATAAGAAATAAATAAGCTAAATATTGTTGTAAATACATTACACAAACAAACACACAATTATGATCCATTTATCTCTTTTAAAACTATAAAGATAAGATACGAATGTGATAAAATAACGAACTCAATACGATTATTATTATTATTATCACTATTCCTGTTATGTAATTCACTTCAGTTATATAATATACCCTTGTGGGCCAGGGTAATTTTACATTGGTTTTCAGAAGAACCAGATACTATCCGGACTTTCACGTGACAACCCAAACAATACAGCCCATTCCCGTTTAGCAGGAGAACCAGATACCGTATAGGCTTTAATGCTACAATCTGAATAGTACAGCTCAATTCTGTGGCCCAACCACACAGGTACCAAGCACCCTGGTGGACCAATATAATTCACTTACCAATTAGCAATCTATCCATTCAACTATAAGTATTGTTTCTATGTAATAAGAAATAATGATGTAATTCAATTGTTTAAACTAAAAAATAATAACGAAAAACAGGATTCGAATCTACAAAACCCAATAATCATATATTGGGTGTATTATTATTGTTTATTATATAATCACAATGAATAAATTAAACATATTTGAATAAAAAAAATGAATAAAGTAACAAACAAACAAACAAACAACAACAACAAAAGAATGATCAATTCATTATTATAAAGAATAAAATAAAACTGTATAATAAATGATCAATACAATAACCTCATGTATATAGAATTATTGATTGAATATTCATAAATTATTGATTTATTATTTATTAAATAATTATCAATTGTATTCATTCTATTTAACATCTATTATGATTTATTAATAAATTATCATTATTTATAACTTCATCTATAGGTTTTTCTAGAGTTATTGCCGGTTCTAAGCTCAAGTAAAAGAGATGGATTAGTGAATCCATTTCATAGAAAACTAACTTGCAAACAGAACGCTAATCATCATTTAGTTATGTTAATCATCAATAATTGATTCATTTATTCTCTTTGTGACTAAGATAATAATGAATTATATAATAATCCATAATCAATCCATAATTACACTGTGTTAATGATACATGATTGTTTATTACATAGAATGAGATAAAAACAAAATATGTTACTTATATTCTTCTTCTTTTCTTTTTTCTTCCTGTTTCTATGGTCAAAAAGGACAATGATCCATTTGTGATTCAACAAAAAAAATATGAGAAAGAAATGTGTCACAATGCTTTAGTAAACTTTTTCTTCTTTACCTGTCTCTATATGTATATGTCTATTGTTAAATGTTTCTATTTTTGATTTAATGCAATATGAAGAAGAATTTGACTAGCTATCAATGGATTACGATAAGCTAATAAACCATTACGATTGCAACATTTGGAAAGATTGACCGAGTTGACTGTCTATAAATTGGAGAGAAGAAAAAAAGGGTGTAGAGATAAGACACACACAGAGAGAAAGTGAACGATAAAAAAAAATAGTGACATTATGATTTACATCACGAACTGAGCTTCGTTAGACAACTGTTGATAATCAATGATAACTGAGCTGTATGAATTTACAGCTTCACTAGTGATTGAACTAATTACTTTCATGTCTCATAGCATTGATTCACCTCAAGTGTTTAACATTTCTAGCTGCAATGAATTTGTGATATTGTGTAACTATCTTACAATATCATAAGTGGTTTCCAACTATACATAGAATATGAATGATCTATTTTGATTAATGCTTCTCAACAGAACACTGGGAATTACTTCTCGAAGCTGTTCATTTATGAGCACATGATATTTGTTCAGAAATTCATTAATTAAACTGTTTTATACAATCAAGGCAATTAATATATTTGAAAGTGAAGTTGTTTTTTATGAAAATATACAATGAAAACTTGATTAAACTTATCAGTGACTGTTCTATATCTTGATACAAGTAGAAGTGAAGTGACTTTACTTCTACCTGAAGTTTGTGATGATGATGTTGTTCAGAAGAACGATGAAAGCTCCACAACCGAACCACTCATCAAAATGGAACTACAGCTTATATATGTTTTTAAGGAACTTGAGAAAAGGAACTGATATGATGTATGTGTTTTCAAAACATCATTTAATGAGATTTTCATGCTATGAAAATGATTCAACTGAATTTAGAACATTACAGATAAGGATCTATCCATCTATTTGTCTATATTGCTAAAGTATATATTAATCGTAAGGTAATTTTTGTAAATAAGATGTAATTAGCACTAGAATCTAAGATATCCCTTTTTGTTTTATATAAGATTTGTCAGTCAGATGTAGTTTTATCTCAATATTAATATACACATGAATTTGTAAATCCAACGTCATACACTTCAGACATCCATCTCTTTAACTCTTGAGTTTAAATGATCACTCATTTATTTAATAGATATAAAGTTATTGGTGAGGGTTTATAGTTTCTTTTTTTGTCTTTTTTTGATAACATTTACAATAAAAAGAAACACGGCAAGACTATAATTTATGGACGAGCCAATCAGAAACATTTGAGGAATTTCAAAGTCACAACGCCAATTTGAGTACCTGATGCTCACGTACGATTGGTTCACAGCGGGTTTTAGAGAAAGCGTTACAATTGGGCGACTACGACAAATAGGACTAATAAGAAGTCCCTTTATATGTGATTGTGGTAATCAAATGACTTGCGGACCTTATGCAGAATACCATGATGCTGTTGTCTTTCGATGTAATATATGTTGAAGGAAGAAGTCTGCTAGAATAGGATTTTTTCGCTCTATCCAGATTGAGACTAAGGGAAATTATGATAATTGCTGCGAACTGTATAATGGAAGCACCAATAACACAGTCGGATACTACAATATATATGGATGACTAAAGAGCATACACATACCTTTATAGACTTGGTTATGTGCATCGTTTCATTATTCACAAGTGGATCTAAGAACCGGAGTACGAAAAAACAATGTTGGAGCTTTATGGTCGAGGCTGAGAGAGCTTTTGCGACCTTATCATGGCTCCAGAGACCGACTATTATAGAGTCATATGGATGATTTCCTCAAATCTATGCATTAAGATTTTGGAACCTGTGAACCTCTTTATAACGTTGACAAAATTTTGAACTATGTTAAAGAAATGTATCTACTTTCATTCTTTGGTTTTGTATAATACATTTTTCAGTAGTTAAGATCATAAGTCAATTGAATCTAGACCACCATGGAAAATCTTGAAACACTGGACGGTCGTTTCATTGTATTGTGGGACTCCTTAGCAGTGTGCTTCCACAACCTCACCTCGAACACAGGACCTATCAGTCTCGCGCACGAACACTTAACCACTAGACCACTGAGCCGGCCGGCATCCACCGGACAGTGCTAATGTCTAACTTCAATTAATCCATAAAATTGAGCGACACATCTACCATTGTCATCAGCGAGTTACTATCTGACAACAGACCCGATTGAACTCGACTGATCATGGCTTCTCACTAAAACTCCAGGAAATACCTCTTGAAGCCAGTCACTAGTGAGCATATGTTAATTCATATCAGAAGGGGTTTTTTGTGGATATTATAGTCATTTCAGTAGTTGAGATCATGAGTTATTTGAAGTTAGACCACCATGGAGAACCTGGAAGCTCTGGATAAGTCCTGGGTTCGAATCTCGTGGGGAGTGTGATCGTGACTGCACACTGTTGAGGAGTCTGACAATACAACGAAACAGCTGTTCAGTGCTTCCATGTTTTTCAAAGTGGTCTAACTTCAACGGACTCATGATCTCAACCAATGAAAATAATAACAATAAAAACAAAAGAACAAACAATAAACCAACTTATTTACTTGTATCTCTTCGGATGATTTAATAATATTGTAATTAATTTGATATTTATGTAAATCATTCATTATTAATTCAATAATTATATTGTAATTATTTGATAATTGTTTTTGTAATAATAATAATTTAATAGAATTTAATGCATATTTTAATTGTATAATACCACCACCTAATGAATTAATTATTGTATGTGGTCCACATGTATCCCATATAAATGTATTTGGCTAATTATAATAAAAAAAATAATATATATGTTAAATAAATAGTTTTAATTATATCATTATCAATATATAATTCATGTTAATAGAATGTAATTGAAAAAAAAATACACAACTAAATTTATTTATATCATTCAATTGATATTGTTTTGCTTGAATCTATCCATTGAGGTTTAAGACTGTAATCGATGAGTCTGTTATTGGCATATGTGTATATACTGTGCTTATTGCCTCGATATAGCTTTAATTTACAAGCTATTTGTAAGCTATTTGATGGATAGTGGCTAGCAGTGGAATCTAATTTGACACGCATTTCTTCCTATTTGGGACTCATCAACTGGGTGTACCTGCATCTCAAAGTTGATGTTCATTCCGGGAGTCGAACTAAATGCCATCGTGTTATCCACTCAGTTACTGAGTCCTGATATCCACTTGCTTGTGCAATGGGGTGAATTTTAAATTCACTTCATATTGTTTTGCTTGAATCTATCCATTGAGGTTTGAGACTGTAATTGATCAGTCTCTTATTGGTATATGTGTATATACTGTGCTTATTCCCTCGATATAGCCTTAATTTAGAAGTCTTACAAGCAAAGATGGATAGTGGCTAGTAGTGGAATCTAGTTTGATGCATGTTTCATTTCAATTATACAGGAGATCAATTTAAAACTGAATAGCTAAGTATTAACATCTCTGACTGAGTAAAGTTTTGGAATATTGATTATCGGAAAACTACGAGGATATATTACTATCAAATATCGATTCGTACGGAATATAGATCTAATCTTCTGTCAATTGCTTTCAGTTGTCTAATATCAAAATATAGTACAAGTGATAGAGGTTTATATTGTAACTTGGTTAGGAGAATTATAGGATTTAGGCAAACAAGCCGTTCATTGCCATTTAGCACTTAGTCCTTATGCACCTGGAGATATTATTTAGCTATTCAAACTAAAGTGGATGGAATAGGAATTGAACTTGTGTATCTATGAGTGAAAATTTAGTGTTTGTAATCACTCAACCTAACGGAGATGATGTGATAAAACAAATTGCCACTAGAGATCTAGAGGTCAAGGGTTCGCGTGGTAGACCGAAGGTCCTAGGTTCGAGTTCCACATGCGGAATCGTGGGTGCAAACTGCTAAAGAGTCCCATACTGGGACGAAACGGCAGTTCAGTACTTCCAGGTTTTCAACGGTGGTCTAACATTGATCGATTCATGATCACAATCAAAATTGCCTCTGAATAAGAACATTAAATGGAATTAAAATGAAAGATTTGATAGCAAAGACTGTTAAGTGAAAACTATCAGCGAACATGTTTTTTTTAACTATTATTATTATTATTATTATTATTATTAATGGCCTTGTTCAATATTATATTAGTAAGAATTTGAAAATGGTCAAAATTCACTTGGTCTTACGTATTGTCTGAGTATACTTAAACTAAAGAAATAAAACCAATACAGAACAGATCATAAGATCTACTAATTGCGTTTTAAGTACGACATAATTATGTTAGAAAGAAGTCAGTGTTTTAGACCTCGATCAATTCGCAATGTGATACGACAATGACTAACCGTCACTGCTAATTATTGAACGAACTATCTACTAAGTTGACTCCATAGTTCGCTGTTCCACATTGAAACTTCATGAAATTTTTCTAAAAGTGAGGTTCTATCCTATGTATGTGGTTGTGGATATTTATCATAAATAAGTTTTTTTAATGGTTGCGAAATATCAGTACATTGATTTCTGATGTTTAATAATTATCCAACTGAAATTATTTTATAATGTAAACTGTAAAAGCTGTATCATGAATCGGAGAAGTTTGGAATGATTTCCCATTATTCCTAAAATATTGCTAGTTTATTGGAAATTTGACGCTAGAAGCATGAATGTTATTTCTACACTCAAAAAAGACACTGGTCTAATTTTTCTTTCTCTAACATGAACTCGTCCATCCCAAAGTGAAGACGTAGTTTTTGTTCTAAATATCCTATTTTACCAATGAAATCGAACCAACCAGTTATCATCACTGTTTATCAGTTGAAAGTAATCGACCTAACAATCCCGCTAATTTTTCATTCACATCATATCTAATACTAACATATATTATGTATGCCTAACCATCATCTATCTTGACGTTTAACGACAGATAATATGGAAGTTAGTTTGAAGGAAACCGGAGGTGAGGAAAACAGAATGTGTTATCGCTACAAAAAGTCCTTAACTACCGAACTGAGACGTATTCGTAAGTGCGAAACTGAAAATTATTGTAGCCAGTGGTTGGAGACGTTGAGTGATATGGTTCATAATCAGTCACAAGTGAGCAGATGGATTCTGTCTTTGTCTTCTCTTAGGTCTTAAAAATATTTTGCAATTTTTATTTCATAAATCAATCCTTTCTTGTTGAATTACATTGTCTATGCTCAGTGTTTTTTTATAAACGCTAACGCTGTTACTCCCTCTACTACTCTGGAATTTGTCTTGAAAAAATTCATCTTCCTATGTTGATATGATGTAGACACTTAAATCGATGTACATAAATATCACATTCTACTTCTCTAATCATCAACCAACTAATTAACTATTTTAGGACATTACGATCAAAGACAAGAGTAAATTATGAAAATGTGATTAGAATTACTTACTTCCATTAAAATAAATGCATCCACTTGATCTAATATCACACATAATTGCTTAAAACCAGCTCCGGATGATGACAAAAACACAACATTGACTAAATCTTGATTAGCATCTTTATAGTCTAATCAATAATAATAGAAAGAATGATAATAAATGGAAACAGTATAAATAAAACATTGAACATTGAATTAATATGAGGATATAATAGAAGAGTTTTAACGTTGAGTTATTCATTACAAATAATATCTATAAAGGATTGTGTAACTTTTCCAAGAATTAGAGATACGGGCTATCTCATAACCACATCTGTTTGTCTGTATAAGTCTCCTCGAAAACTAAAAAAAAAATAGGTGGAACGTAAGCATAGATCTACAGTTGTCTGAGGGACTTAATGCGCATTGTTCAGTTCAGTTCAGTTTCAGAACTTAAGAGATTATACACAATATTTGAAGTCTTCCTAACAGGAACATATATGAACAAAGAGCAAACATATAAAAAAGGTTGATATCAGTTCATTTTTTTACATATAAATAGTAGTGTTGAATTCACTAGAATTTTTTATTCTGAATTTTATTTTGCTTTCATATGGTTTAATAATATTGGATAGATATTTAATAAGATTGAAGGTAAATGAATTAGTATAATCAATCACTGTTTATAATGGAACATCCGTTTAATGAATTCTGGTAGCCCATGAAATCTACAAGAGCTGCAGCTTTTTGGTTATGGAGAAAACCATAGAGAAGGTCCTAGTTTAAATTTTAGAGTTCTGAGTATCAGAGACAATATATATTCAATGAGATTTTTTTCATTTGCCTCATATCCAAACACACATACATACAACTATTATCTTAACACAACTCTACACACCAGATGTCTCACATAGACGCACTGCAGGAAATTCTTACTTTTAATATTTTTAACATGATAGCATATAATGAACCGGAGAACCATGTACCTAGATAAATTCGATAATTTTGATGTTTGATTACATTTTCTTGAAAATACTTGAACCAGATCACCGAGAGAAACATTAGATTTACTTAAAATTCAATCACTGAGATTTTACAAATATAATTTGCCTCAATGTCTTATGCGCCACAAAAATCTCATCTATTATGTGTGAAGGCTGTGATACTGCTCGGGTGCCAAAACAGAAGCAAGTGGTTTTCTTAGGGGGCCACACTAGGAGCCTTCGACCTAAAGGTCTGATCCACAAGGCATTGGAGCAACGTAAGGAAATGCAGTCCGATGGTAGTCAGTGACCAACGATTGGTTCATACGCCATTTGTTCCTTCAGGATACTGGAGCCCATGTGCACCATTGGTTCGGAATCCGGTTAAGGCGCCAGACATTCGCTTTTCGTCCTCTCAATTTCGTAAACAACAGTAGTGCCAAGAGAAAGCAGTAAGTAGGGCTTCCCTGTCAGAGGCCATATACGCGTGGCCATGTGAGAGAATTTCGAGAGGAAGAGCGAACTCTCCTCACTCTCGGCCGTACCAAAACATTAACTCAGTACCCAACTACTATGAAACTATTCGTTCAGATTTAGACGAAAGTTCTTATAGATAATGAAACAATTAGAGTTCAAATATTATCATTATTTTATCCTTCTTAAAATGAATTGCATATTGATTATATGATTCCTAAATATACAAGTAATTGGAAATATTATATATACATGTAAGTGTCCACATACATCACGAAGCAAGTCCTAACTTGGAATCCTGAAGGGAAGCGGAAAAGTGGAAGGCTAAAGAACACATTACGTCGAGAAATAGAAGCAGATATGAAAAGGGCGAATAACAACTGGAAAGAAGTGGAAAGTATTGTCTAAAACAGGGTTGAATGGAGAGTATTGGTAGGCGACCTGTACTCCTCGACTTGGAGTAATAGGCGTAAGTAAGTAAGTACACTATCAACAACAAATAATGCTATCGGTTGTATTCATCAAAGATTGATATTAATCAAGATACTATTGAGATATATAAAGTAGTAAATCCTTATTCCATTCAAGTATACAATAAAAATAATATTGAAAATTGTAATAAAATTAAATAAAATTAATCAATAATAAACTTACTATGAAATAAATTAGTTAAACGACTAAATTCTACAGAACTACAAACAAGTTTTAAAATTGGTTTCTCTTCATTAAATATACGATCTGGACAAAGTACATCAAAAAAATTATCTGGAAAATGTAGATATTTAGGTAAATTTAAATGATCCAAAGGATTCAATATATAATTTTTAGAACAATTATTTGAATATTTATTAATAGATAAAGAATTTCCCGAATCCATCATATTGAAACCCCAAAATATTCTTCCATAATGATATAATGAACTAAATATATAATGATAAAATAAAAAAATAAATAATGAAAAGTTAATTGAATTTAAGTAATATTATATACATTGACATCAGTTAAAATGGTATTAATATTAATTTGATATTATTATATGATCTTATGTTGACGTCTCAAATGACATGAGTTCGAACCTCACAGTGAGCCATCATTTTCCTCAAAATTGAAGATACACTTTACTGATAAGTGTCAATTAGCATAGAAACTATGTTGTACAGAATTCTTTATCGACTACCTTCAATCATGTAAAACAAATATATTATTATTTGTCAGTCAGTTAGTTGATTGCTGGTAAGCGGCCTATGCTCCTTCACGAGGAGTAACAGGCGTAAGTAAGTAAGATCCTAAGTTGAATAGTTTACAAAGTTGTCTATTACACAGTAAGTTAAATGAATTTCGACTTATTGGTATAAAAGTAACATGTTCACAGAAAGAAACTGAAAGTTCTCAGTATTATGCTCATAAATTCAAAAAACTCAAAATGGAAACTATATTTAAATGAAGTTCATTCTAAGAAATCATTATAACAAGAACTAACTGACTGACAAATAATAATATCAATTTGGGGTATGTGGAGATTATTAAGTTGTTTTTTTGATTGAGATCATGAACCGATTGATGTTAGACCACCATACAATAGGACGATTCGGCCGTCCAATGCTTCCAGGTTTTCAATGGTGGTCTAAAGTCAATCGGTTCATGATCTAAATCAAAAAAAGAAATAATAATATGTTTGTTTTACATGACTGGAGGTAGTCAATAAAGAATTCTGTACAACATAGTTTCCATGCTAATTGACACTTGTCAGTAAAGTGTATCTTCAATCTTCAGGAAAATGATGGCTCACTGTGGGGCTCGAACTCATGTCATTTACTTTTGAAATTTGAGATGTTATCACTTATGTATTCTAACGTTAACTAATCTCCTGAAGGTTATCTACTGACTATCTTGAATCACTTAATAACCTGAGATAATTTCTAGTTGTTAACATAGGAACTAATCAACTCAAAAATAATAGTATGCTAATGAATATTGATCACAGTAAAAACAATTACTGACAACGAACAAATTCTTCATAAACTTTGAATAATAGTTATTTACGTAGTATCAATCATTAACAAATAAAGAGCATACATTAAGAACCCTTTGAATTCATTCATTATTTAACATCAGTGAGTAAAACGGTATAATCAATAAACTATTAGAGTTTTTGGTTTTAAATCTGATCATAAAATGAAATTTATTTAGAAGAATTATTATCGAAATCATTCGAAAAAAGTAGCTCTGAAGTTTTAGTTAGTTGTTATGGATGAAATAAACAAATGAACTACAATTAGTGTAAGAATTTTCGTAATTGTTCAATTCGAATTAAAGATATTCAGTTACCATACATGACTGAATACTGGCTCTCGATGAAGATAATATACTAGTAAAGTTAAAATTCCTTGATGTGTATTTGACACAACTTGAGAAAAGTTATCTAATTCTATCTGAAAGGGTTAACATTTCCTCGTAGTTGATATAAAACACCTTATTTATTCAGATGTTATTGATATACGTGCATCCTAAACATCAACACTGAAGTGCAGATATATCCTGCTGACGTATTTCGAACAGGATAAAAGAAGTATCTTAGATTTCACTGCTAACCATGATCCATCTGTTCAACTTAACTTATATCAAGGTGATTCGCACAGAATGCACATATAGTAACTATAGCCGATCAAAATTTAGTTCCCAATATCAACAATCTTGAATAGAATGAAATCTGTATGTTGTATTCCTCTTGTTAATTGCTATGTAACATACATGATTGATATACAACTTGTTACAAAAAATGATATATTTCACAATGGTGTTTTTCGATGTAGTGATTTATCAAACTTATCCTTTAGAACAACATATATAAGCGAACAATATTGTTTTCGATTAGATCCTCATCAGGCTTTACTCTAATATACAGTAATATTTATATGCATATACGAAATTATTGGGCGCACTACCAGGCAACTGAACCAACGAGTTAGTGAACACCTCCCATCGTGGTTCGGAAAAGGTTACGTCAAAACAATACGCAGCTCGGTTCTATCACACTTGATCGATAGCGGTCATATAGTAGACAGAACCAAGTCGTTCAAAGTTATATATCGGATACCCACTAGTTTTCCTTATGGTGTTCGATCTCGTCTCTTACACATAGCAGAAGCTATAGGAATCCGAACCAACAAGCCAAGTCTTTGTGTTCAGAAGAAATTTGTAACTCCCTTATCTCTCCCTTGGCCTTAATTAATAAATGAATTTATTTATTTATTCCTTTTCTAACTTTCTCTTCGTTTATTATTTTTCTTCACACCCTCCTACCACTTTATTTTCTCTCAACTATACGTTTCATGGTCCAATTATCTGAACATTTCTTATTACGTCATCTTATAATTTTATAATTGTTATCTCAGTTTCTATATTTTTCTAATCATTGACCTATTTCAGATTATGTAACATTGATTTGAACCTTTATTATTATTGCTTATCAAAAACTAATGCACCTGTTGTCACACCATCAATTTGTACTTTTCACATTTTACTTATTATGTAATCTTTTCCATTGTTATCATTGACTTATAAACTACCTTGATTGGTTTAATAATTTCGTATATGCATATAAATATTACTGTATATTAGAGTAAAGCCTGATGAGGATCTAATCGAAAACAATATTGTTCGCTTATATATGTTGTTCTAAATTTACAATATGGGAATATTTCAAATTTTGAAGTCACGTGGGGATCCGATTGCATTTAAGGTGCTCAATGAGTTCCTAAAGTTTAATGCTCGTCTCACTGAAGCGAAAACATCGTTGGAATTTATTAATGACTGTATACGGAATGACAGATATCCTAAAATATATTGGAAATGTTTACGCCGGAACAAAGTTTATCCAAATGCCAGAACCCTTAAACGACATGCACTTAACCAAACGGATTCATTAAAATTACATATAAACAATCTAGAAAGAAATCTTTCACAAAGAGAATATATGCTCGATAACCTACCACCGGAAATAAAATCACAATTTATGGATTATAATAACATGGTAGTAAAAAGTAGATCAGAAAAACTGGGAACAAAATTAATTCAGTCTCTGGAACCTCATAAACCTGAACGAAAATTTCCTATGGACCCTGAGCGGTACGTTCATAATTTCTCTAGTGTTACGTTAAACACATTGCAATTAGAGGCTTTGTCACTCGGCCCTAGGTTTTGCGACTATAGTAATAAAATAAACCAACTAGATACAGATGTACAGTTTGAAAATTTATTTACACAAACAACAGATTTGGTTCCTACTTCTTCTGATGAACTAACCAGGTTTAAGACCACGTTGGTAGACATCTGCCAACAATACAAAAATAGTAAATGTACAGTGAAGACTCCACTTACCAAACAGCACCGAGATGCTTTACATATACTTAGAAACGACAAGACTCTAATCATAAGCAAGCCGGACAAAGGAGGGGGGCTAGTTCTTATGAACAAAGCTGATTACATTAATAAAATGAATGTGATTTTGAATGATCCGACTAAATTTCAGAAACTCAACGAAGTTAAGGACTTAAACATGAAGGCGGAAAAATTACTGACTATATCACTGAAGGAATTAAAAAATAAAGGTATCCTTACTCCTGACTTAAATGACTCACTCAAGCCTACTGGATCGAACACACCGCGACTATATGGTGTACCTAAAGTTCACAAGACAGATCTTCCTCTTCGCCCAGTTTTAGATATGTATAATTCGCCTTATCATAAAACTGCAAAGTGGCTAGTTCGTATCCTGAACCCCCTACACAAATTAGTCGTCAATAGAAGCGTGAAAGATGTATTCGATTTCATATCTAAAATGGAACATATAAATTTAAATGGGAAACGAATGATATCTTTAGATGTTGCTTCCCTGTTCACCAATGTACCATTAGCAGAGACTATCGATTTTGTGTGCCAACAACTGCAGGAAAAGCAAATCAATATTGGAATTCCTGGGGTTAGTCTTAAAGAATTACTTTTAAAATGCACAATGAATGTCCATTTTGTCTTCAATAACACATATTATAGACAAATTGATGGTATAGCGATGGGTTCGCCACTAGGTCCCATCCTTGCGGATTTCTTTCTGGCGAAACTAGAAAACGGACCTCTCAAGGAGGTTATCAATAAACTGGATTTCTACTGTCGTTACGTTGATGACACCTTCATCATTGCCGATCAGAACATTAAAAAAGAACAACTACTGGAACTTTTTAATAACAAACATCCTGCTATTAAATTTACATGTGAGGAGGAAATAGATAACAAGCTAAATTTTCTGGACGTTTTGTTAAGTAGAAAAGAAAATGGTTCTATCAGCAGGGGTGTGTTTAGAAAAAGTTCTTCTCCAAGCCAATACACACATTTTTTTAAGCTTTGTGCCTCTTCATTATAAGAGAAACTTAGTCAAATGCCTTGCAAATAGAGCTCTTAAGATATGCTCAGTCGACACTATTGATAGAGAATTACAAAACATCCATAATATTTTGATTGAATTGGGATATCCATTGGGTTTCCTGAAGAAACATTTGCGCGTACAAAACAGGAAAATAGTGACCCTGACGGCTAAAAAGAAACCGCTTTTTTTGAAACTGCAATTCAATGGTGATTTGGCTAGCGATGTATTACGGGATAGATTGACTAGATCAGTAAAGAGAACGTTTAATGCTGCCAACCTCTGCCTATCGTATTCGACCCGATCGATGGTGATTCCGCAATTGAAGGATAAGTTACCTGGTTATGCCACTTCTATGTGTATCTACGAATTCAGCTGCTCCTGTGGAGAAAGCTACATTGGGCGCACTACCAGGCAACTGAACCAACGAGTTAGTGAACACCTTCCATCGTGGTTCGGAAAAGGTTACGTCAAAACAATACGCAGCTCGGTTCTATCACACTTGATCGATAGCGGTCATATAGTAGACAGAACCAAGTCGTTCAAAGTTATATATCGGATACCCACTAGTTTTCCTTATGGTGTTCGATTTCGTCTCTTACACATAGCAGAAGCTATAGGAATCCGAACCAACAAGCCAAGTCTTTGTGTTCAGAAGAAATTTGTAACTCCCTTATCTCTCCCTTGGCCTTAATTAATAAATGAATTTATTTATTTATTCCTTTTCTAACTTTCTCTTCGTTTATTATTTTTCTTCACACCCTCCTACCACTTTATTTTCTCTCAACTATACGTTTCATGGTCCAATTATCTGAACATTTCTTATTACGTCATCTTATAATTTTATAATTGTTATCTCAGTTTCTATATTTTTCTAATCATTGACCTATTTCAGATTATGTAACATTGATTTGAACCTTTATTATTATTGCTTATCAAAAACTAATGCACCTGTTGTCACACCATCAATTTGTACTTTTCACATTTTACTTATTATGTAATCTTTTCCATTGTTATCATTGACTTATAAACTACCTTGATTGGCTTAATAATTTCGTATATGCATATAAATATTACTGTATATTAGAGTAAAGCCTGATGAGGATCTAATCGAAAACAATATTGTTCGCTTATATATGTTGTTCTAAATTTACAATATGGGAATATTTCAAACTTATCCTTATTAAGGTATAAATCTTCTAAATCATCGTAAATTCAACAATAATAAAAAAAAATAATTTCATCAGACATGAATGCAAAATATATCTACTAAAATAAAACAGATTCTGAATGAAGTAAATAGGATTCTGGTGTACCTGCCAAAGCAGCTACATTGGCCGAACAGAAAGAAGGGCTATATCTTAGTTTTTTGAACATGTTTCAAAAATTCTCGGAACAAGAGGTAGAAAGACTCTAAACAGTACAATCAACAAACATCTCCTTGATGAAGGAGATCAGGTAGATACCTTACAATCCTTTAAAGTGATTAGTAAGCAAATTAACTCCAGTTTTCTGAAGTTTGCTGAAGCCGTTGCCAACCTAACTTATGTGTTCAAAAAGGAGATGATTATTAATCTTTCCTTGGTTTGGGACAAATATTCCTTCGCTTCACTTTAAATTTTTTTCTTTTTCTTTAAACTCTTCCCTGGATTTATTACATCGTTGGGTTTTATTTTAACTATCTTCCAAAATAATAATCTTATTTTATCAACTGAGCTCTACTCATTATATTCCTATCAATGTTTACTCATTATGTAATCACTTGTTTCTGGTTGTTTGAATTGTTGTCACAATCAATGTTGTAGAATCCTCTTTTACATAAGATATATATTTGCAATATTCAGTCTATTCAATTTATTTACACCCTTGTTACACTATATTAATATGTCTTCAATATAACTTTTAACTAAACCCTTTTATTTAAGTCATTTAAACGCATTATGTAATTATGATTCTTAAATATCACAGGTTGTAAGCAGCTGACAAGAACCAGATGAAATAAAAATGAATTCATACTATTCTGCTAGAATCTTTATTCTTACTCTATACAAAATTATATCACTTGTGGCTCAGTTTATTTTAAATATTATACAAGAGATGTACTAAAAAGAATAATGTATTATGCTTCACAAAGACCATAATCAGATAGTCTAGTTGAAACACATGAATTGTTAGTAACTTAATAGATTGTTGCCAAGTTAACGAATGTTCACTTTTATTCTTACTCAATCAATTGAAAATATCTTACTTAGTATGCAATCACATTATCTCAGTTGATATAAATTTTTAGATTCTAACTATAATCAATGTACCATTTTTACACAATACTCAATGCTTAGCATTAGAATAATGAACTTGTAAAGTTTTATTATACATTTATTAAATCATTTAAAAGATCATTTGTCTATATATTAAAGAATTTAATCATATAAAATTACTGATGGTTACCGAATGCTGAAAATAAAATAGATTGAACAAGTTTCAATTTAATCCATATTCAATTAGTTTCAAATCAATGATTATAACCAATAATTCATTAGAACAACACATATAAGCGAACAATATTGTTTCCAATTAAATCGTCATCATATTTTCCTCTAATATACATGAATATTTATACAAAAATGTTAAATCAACCAAGGTAATTTAGGTTAATAATCCCAATGAAATAGAATAAGTCACTACACATATTAGGTAAAAGTACAAGTTGATAGTAGGAAGAGAGGTGTACTGATAATAGTTAAAATAATAAAATAAAATAGAATAACAAAAGTCATATCAACAGTTAAACATTGGAAATAGAAGGTCAAACGTGGGTGAATAGAATTACAATAGTCATCACAAAACATTAAAATCATTATGTAATAAGAAGTGAGTAAATAATTAGACAGTGAAGAATACAAGCGGCAAGAGGTGGAAAATTACAAACAAATAATGGATGTGAAAATAAGGTTAATGATAACAAAAATAAAATAAAAATAAACAATAAAATACAATGAAGGGTCGTTTGTTAAGTTATAACTGGCCAAGAAAAGGGATGGGAGAGTTATGAATTTCTTCTGTACACATAAATTAGGGTTATATGTATGAATTACTATGGCTTCAGCTATATGTAGGAGACAGGAACGAACTCAGTTGGGAAATAATGGAGGTATACGATAGTTCACTCGAAATGTTTCTGATTTATCTACAGCATGATCGTTATCTACGTTGTCTACGCAAAATACTTCAGATCCGTTGGCCGGACACTATTAGTAACAACGTACTGTGGAAGAGAACAAACCAGATTTCAGCGGAGGAAGAAATCAGAAAGAAGCGCTGGAAGTGGATAGGACACACATTGAGGAAAGCACCCAACTGTGTCACAAGACAAGCCCTCACATGGAATACTCAAGACCAAAGGGAAAAGACGAAGACCAAAGAACACATTACGCCGGGAAATGGATATAGACATGAGAAAAATGAACAAGAATTGAATGGAATTAGAAGAAAAGGCCCAGGACAGAGTGGGTTGGAGAATGCTGGTCGGCTTCCTATGCTCCATTAGGAGTAACAGGCGTAAGTAAGTAAGTATGATCGTTATCAATAAGATGTGCCAAGTTAGAACTGACCCTTTATAAACCAAGCTAGTAGATGTTCACTTATTTGTTGGTTAATTTGCCTGATAGTATACCCGATAAAGCTATCTCCACAGGAACAGCTGAATTTATGATTATTGATTGAACATTTTTCGTATAAATATTTCATGTATATTAGAGTAAAGCCTGATGACGATTTAATGATAAACAATTGTTCGCTTACATATATTGTTCTAATTTTCACAACAGGTTAAGTGCTCGCGCGCGAAACCATTAGGTCCTGGGTTCGAATCCTGCGGGGTGCGGGGTCGTGGATACACACTACTGAGGAGTCCCATACCAGGACGAAACGGTTGTCCAGTGCTATCAGGGTTTTCATGGTGCTCTAGCTCCAATTGACTCATGATTTCAACCGGTGACAATAGGAATCTTTAATAATTCAATAATCAATGAATTAATCATAAATAATAAATCAAACAATAATAATAATTATTATTATTATAAATCTTACTTTATTTCATCAGTTGATAAATGATCATTATTAGTATTATTATTAGATGAATTGATAATATTATTTAAATAAAATGGTTGATTTATAACACCAATTAATGGTAAACCATTTGAATAATCAAATAAACCTAATAAAATTGTCACATTAATAAGACTACCATGATAGAAACGTATTAAACTTGTTGGATTTTCAAAAAAATGATTAATTTGATTTAGATTATCTAATTCTATACCAGATAAATGAGTAGATGATGAATTAATTGAAGTAAAATGATATTTATCAAATTGACCTTGAGCATAATCAGCTGTTGAGTCTATAAAAAGAACAAAAAAAAAAACGGTCAAAGAAAAAATAATGAGAAGGGTATAAATAGAAATAAAATTAAGTATAATAATAATAATAATAATAAAGATAATAATACAATAATATCAGAAGGGGTTTTGTGGAGATTGTAGTCATTCCAATAATTGTGATCATGAGTCAATTGAAGCTAGATGACTATGGAAAACCTGAAAATACTAGACGACCGTTTCATCACAGTATGGCATTGCTCAGCAGTACGCACCCACAATCACACCTGGCGAAATTGGAACCCAGGACCTATCAGAACTATCAGTTGTGAGATAGTAACTTACTGAAGACAATGATGGCCGGTGGCGCAATTTCGTGGATTACTTAAAGTTAGACATTAATACCGTTGGATGCCGGCCGGCTCAGTGGTCTAGTGGTTAAGCGCTCGCACGTGAGACTGATTGGTCCTGGGTTCGCATTCCGCGAGGCGAGGTTGTGGATACGCACTACTGACGAGTCCCACAATAGGACGAAATGGCCGTCCAGTGCTTCCAGGTTTTTCATGGTGGTTTACCTTCAATTGACTCATGATCTCAACTATTGAGATTAAATAAATGTTGTTCCGTAAATTACTTTGATGAATAAATTTCGATGGTGTATTTCATCTACTCTACTCTATATATCGATGTCTGGACATCTGAGTTCGCTCCGTTTTCATGTTTTATGATAAAATCGATTCCTGGATATGTACCATTTTAAAGTTTTGGTAGATAAGACATATAATGTAAATTTTTATCAGCGGTAGAGTAATAATAGATGGGTTGACCGTTCGTTAAGTAGAAGCATGTATAGAAACAGCTCCTTTGTTTGCTAGTACACATCATTCTAGTTTCACTTTTATCCGCTACAAGAAAGTCTGATTAGATATCTAATAAGCAGAGAAAAAAGATCTCAGATGATACCATAAAAAAGGAGTTGGAGTTTATTAATAACACCGATGGAGATCGGTTACACAGGAAATTTTTACAAAAAGTACATGTATCTGGGGAAAATAGGCTGGGGATATTGACCACTTGAAAGAAATATCTATTCCTAAAAATACAACTCAACGGGAATGTGTTTAGATATTTCCTGTATGCTGGATTAGTGAGGGCAGCTAATTTGACACTCTACGGAGCCAACATTGAGTTGACATGTTCTTGTAGACCAGTGATATCTAACCAATCAAAGGATAAGTTACCTAAGTTTGCCTCCTCACTGTGCATCTACAAATCCAGCTGCTCCTGAGAAGGTAACTATATTAAGCCTACCACTAGGCGACTTAACCAACAAATAAGTTAAAAGCTCCCAGCTTGGTTTGGAAAGGGCAACACGGAAAAGAAACTCAGCTCTATCTTGGCAAACCTGATTGACAATGGTTATATGGTGGATAAAAGTGAACCGTTTTGAGTAATCTATTGTATACCTTCGTCATTACCCAATGGAGTTCTCCTACATACAGCAGAAGCTATAGGGATCTGAACCTGAAACTCTAAATTATGTGTTGAGAAAAAATTCGTAACTCATCTATAGCTTCCTGGGTCAGATATGACTTAATAAACAATTTCATTGATTTCCTCACATCATGTATTTGTTTGTCATTACTCGCCTCTTTTCGTTTCTATTTCTGACTATCTAATTATTTACACATTTCCTTTTATGTAATTTTAATGTTTTGTGATTATTATTATTATTATTATAAGTTTGTTTATTGAAGCTTGACCTACTTCCTATATTGAACTATTGCCCAGAATTTTGATTATTTTCATCAATACTACTAGTACATCTGTCTTCTTTCTATCAATTTGTATTGTTTACCTGTTAATTTTAGTTATCCAATCTATTTTATTTTGATCATTGATACATAGATTATCTTGATTGGTTGAATATTTTCATATAAACATTCATGTATATAAGAATAAAGACTGATGACAATCTAACTGAAAACAATTTTGTTCATTGATATGTGTTTTTCTAATTTTCACAATGGTAATTATTAATATTTTAAGAATATTGTGTTTCATTACATGAACAGTAAGGCTTTTTTTTCAACTTAAGAGTAATGATTAAGATATTTACCAATACAAATGAATATTGGTACTGAATGCCCCGAAATGTCTGAGGTACAGCTGAGGTTGGAGAGAGTAAGCTTTCCCTCTCTAAGTGCTCTCACATGGCCATGCGTATACAGCCACTGCCAGGGGAGTCCTACTCACTGCCTTCTCGGCATTACTGTTGTTTACGAAAATGAGAGGACGAAAACTGAATGTCTGGCTCTTTAACCGGATTAGTGGACACGTAGAGTCCACCTAGTTGAGTTGGAAAACCCTGGTTCCAAACCAATGGTGCAAATGGGCTCCAGTATCCTGAAGGAATAAATGGCGTATGAACCAATCGCTGGTCACTGGATAACATGGGACTCCATCTCCTAACGATGCTCCATTGCCTTATGGATCAGACCTTTAGGTCGTAGGCTCCGAGTGTGGCCCCCTAAGAAAACCACTTGCTTCCGTTTTGGCACCCGAGCAGTATCACAGCCCACACACAAATATAATGATTTGTGTGGCACATATCTGTTTGATGCTCCTTTGTATCAATATTTATATGTTCCAATAATTAAGTAATTAACGTAATGGTTACGACGACAGATGTTCAAAATATCAGTCACTGATCAAAAATTATATTTACTTTAATTAGTTTAAGCAACTGAACAGTGTTATATCTCTTTAGATCTGTAAAAAAAGAGATTATTTAAACCTTACTATTTTATAATATATTTTGTTCAAATTCGAGTTTAGTGTATATCATCAAATCATTTGCCAAGCCTTCAAAGACATTTTTTTAAAATTTATAATATTGATCCGGCTCTTCTATCGCAAACACAACAACAAATGCAAGAGAAAACAACGAGTGTAGCAGCATCCTCAACAGCGGTAGGTCTCAATATACACGAAGGGAAGAGTAATGTTCTGCGATACAACACAGCATGCACCAATCGAATCACACTGGACAGAGAAGATTCGGAAGGTGTAAAAGCCTTTACATATCTGGGCAGCATTATTCATGAATGGGGTGGATCTTATGCAGATGTGAAGGCGCGGATCGACAAAGCAAGAGCAGCGTATTTACAACTGAAAAACATCTAGAACTCAAAAAACCTGTCAACGAACACCGAACGTAAAAGTTTCAACACAAATGTCAAAACAGTTCTACTACATGGGGCGGAAACTTGGAGAACTACGGAAGCCACCATCCAGAAGATGCAGGTATTTATTAGCAGTTGTCTACTCAAAATACTTCAGATCTGTTGGCCAGACGCTATCAACGACAACCTACTATAGGAGAGAACAAACCAGATTCTGGTGGAGGAAGAAATCAGGAAGAAGTGCTGGAAGTGGATAGGACACACATTGAAAAAAACACTCAACTGCGTCACAAGTCGATCCCTCACTTGGAATCCTCATGGTCAAAGGAGAAGAAGAAGACCAAAGAACATATTGCGCCGAGAAATGGAGATGGATATGAGAAGATTGAACAAGAATTGGATGGAACTAGAAAGAAGACTCAGTGGTTTGAGGAATGCTTTCTATACACCATTGGGAGTAACAGGCGTAAGTAAGTAAGTAAGTAAGTAATAATATTGATAACAAAAGAATCGGTGATAGAAATTTTATCCAACTTAACTTCTACAAATTTTATTCTAGTCCATTTTAATGTTTCTAATAAAAAGAGAAATATATTCAAACTAGAAAAAAAAACTTTTGATCTATGATAATTAACAATTGATTCATTAGTCTTTAGATTAAAAACAATAAGTTGATTAGTGAATTGAAATAATGATACATTTTATCTTGATATATCTATCATTAGTTACTGATGACCTGTCATATTTTAAAATAAAATAAAGATTGAACATTAGAGTACTTGGATAGATGAAATAGGTTCGAAGTTAATATGTATAAGTTTTAGTATGGTGTAACAAGAATCTACGTAATTTTCCTACATTATTTTCCGTTGAAAAATTTAATTAGAGCAAGAATATCAAGATTTGTAAAATAAAATGAATTCATCATATCGTTCCATGGAATCTTAATAATTGGTTGTAAATAACCTGAAGTAATATTCGCATTAAAGATCTGATGGAATTTAGTTAATGAAGTAATGATAGATGTTCGAAACAATAATAACCAACAAACGAAGACCTAAGAGTATAGTGAAGGTTGACGTATATTGAAGAAGAAAATCACTAGTCATACAAAATAAAAGAGATGATGTTAAAGTTACTGGTAGTTACAGTAACTGATTACGTAAGTAGTCGATATTTAGTTTATTTCAGTTCAGATGATGTTAGATGGTTCAAAGTAATTGATAGCAAACCATGTATAACCTAGGTTTTGTACTAACTGACATTCGTCAGCATGGTATACTCGGCGTTGTTGAAGAACTGGTGCTCTATGTGGGATTTGAATCCGTATATTCCGCTTGATACTCTAAGACGCTACCGTAGTGCTACTTGAGTCACTCTAATTCTTTATTTACTTCGAATTTTTATAGATCATGATAATAAGTGTAGGTATTGACATCAAACAAAGCTAGTTGATAACTTTTGATGTCTACATATTATGGGTTGTAAACAGATGATGAGAAAAAACGCGATAAAGTGAAATAAACCGTTATGTTTTTCTACTGATCGAACCGTTACTAAGTCCTTATCAAGTTATTAGCATAAATCTGTTTATTAAACAAATAAGCTTTGTAAAATGCGCAATTTAAAAATCCTGGAGAAATAAACATGAACAAAACTGGACTATTTAGAATGTTTGGTATTTGGGTAGCTGTGGAATTCAAGACACACATCTCGCCTTATATGGGGCTTGGGAGAATGTACATACACACCACTATTTATGTTCGTAAACCCTTGCTAAAAGTGGATTTTCCATGAAAACTTTATAAAAACAGCAAAGTGAATGCAATCACACATACCTATTGGATCGATCCATACACCAAATGTTCCAATATCAGAATATTTTATATCGGTTATTTTAAATAGTGAATTACAATTGGAGATCAAATCTTCCCAAATGTTACACACTGAAAATTGTGTCTGAAACGATTCTAGCGGTCGAAAACAAATTTCACTCAATTGATTTGCAAAATCTAAATCGTTGCCCAAAACGTCAACTGAAAAGTTAAAGATAAGAAATGAAGCCAATTATACAGTCATAAATTTTAGTAAGGAATGTTATATAATGGTGTAAATAGCCGTTAATAGTTACTAGCATGTTTATGCAATTACAATTTTTAAAGTGATGCATCTAGTAGAGAGTCAAATTCAAAGATTATATAAAACAGATTTCCAATGATTATATAATATAGAAAAATTGCAAGTTTGAAAGTCAAGTATTCTATCTTTAGAGGAGTAACCGGTAAGTACCTTTGTGAAGAACCATTCTACGATGAAGCAGCCAACTTTTTTCCTTTTGTTCTGAATTGTCTCAAGCCGAAGTGAAACTAGGGTATAAACTGGCCAGAAATTAAATAGCTCGTACAAACTCGAAATTCTAAAGATAAAATGTGAGTTCAGAAGTCAGACAAAAAAATAAGAATCTAATATCAAATAATGTCTACCATTAAAGGCTTTTATGTGAAAGTATACACGGTGAGAATTGATCTAAACTGCACAAAACTAGCAAATTACTATTTTGTTTGTGAATAGCTGAGTTAGATGTAAACGATAATTATCCTGTTACTGCACTTCGGTTTGTTTTATAGCATAATCCAAATAGCGTTTGACTTGCCAAAGAATTTCGCCTTTCAGCCACTTCAGTGATTACTAAAATGAGGGCAGGTCACTTGTTAAAAAGCTATCATCGAAAATTTATTGATGCGTAGCATCTGTTTTGTATGCGTGCTCATCATTAACTATAATGAATACACGAAAAAATGCTTTCTCATTTCACAACCTTCATAAAAATGCAATAAAAAGAAAGCCACGCTCTTACTTAAAAGATCAGCAAGATTTTCTTTAGAAGATAGTTGAATTGTTACTGTTTTACCGGAACTACCGGAAAAACGATTATTTTCTTCACCAAACACCGAATTATTGAATCCAGGAAACTGAAAGTTTTAAAATAAACGTTTTGATAGTACTAAAAAGTTCTGTCAAAAATTTTGGGTAAGATCAATATATAATGTTACAACGTCTAATAAAAATAAAAATTGTGTAATATAACTGAACTCTGCTTATGTAGATAAAAGAAAGATAAGCGACGATATTTTTCAGTTTTAGTTAATGCAGGAGCACTCGGCATTAAATGATCAAGCTAAATGTTTGAATCTTGCTCCATTCAATTTGGTTTGGAATGTCATATAGCACTGAAGTAACCATATTTTATACTTCCTTTAATATTCAAGTTAGCTACTGAGTAATATCTGTTGTTTTATATGGTTTAGTTACATGTGCTTGCATGCTTAGACTGTTCCAATTAGCCCTTTGTTACATCTGAACTTCATCTTGAAGTAACTACGGTCACCAATCTCCAATTTTTCCCAACTTTGTTTCCTATCACTGCTCATAATTACTGATCGAACTTTAGTTCGCCTAAATTTTCGGCTGTCTTTACTTTGCAGAGAATTTAAAGTTTGGCAAGGTGAGTTTAAGAGCACTTATCGACTTGGCAAATGCCGCCAAAATCCATTGGTATTACTTAGTTTTTTGGTTTAAGCCACAGGTGAATATCATCAGTGTTTTCACAACTTCTCAAACATTATGTAAAGCTGCAATGGATTGGACATCACCTTCATGATCGATCAAGCGCTTCTTTAGTTTCTCCTATGATATACTCCTTGCGTTTCTGCTACCGAGCTGGAGCATAGGTAAGAGGTGGAAAGATAAATGTCAGAACCGTAATAAAACATATGTTTACACTAATTATGTCACCGAGTAAGCAATGCCACATTATTGTGCAATAGATTAACTACGAAGCTTGTCACGAAAGAAGATAGATTCCCTAAATGTAAAGCATACGTAACTTAGACAATATATAATCGACACATAATCGAAGCAAACTGGTTCAGACAGATTTAATCATGGAATAAGGGAAGTTTTATCATAGTAATAGCAAAGTAACAGTCATAAAGTAACTGCTCAATTTTCTAGAATAATAGCTCGATATCGGATAACCAGAAACGAAAGTGAACGCTGATTACATCGTGGGTAATGATGAATGCATTTATTTTTCAACAATCTCTTTATTAAACCTGAAGAAAGTAATTTAATGCCAAAGATACAAAAATAATAATAAGTGCTTTTCCTGTTTATAAAAACTCAACTGTGCAAAAGCCATTTCAAATGTATACACTTTTAGAAGATCACAGCAAGTGGTGTTGAAGGTGAGTGTTCAAATTTTACACCAACTATTATTTAAGTGCGATACGTGTGCTAACTGATGCTTCCTTTGTACTTGATTGCGTGCTTATGACGATTCACAAAAATAATGCGTTAATTTGTGTTCATCTGGTTCTACCTGCCTTAAATTGCAGCATTTCGGAGATTTTTAGTCTTTACATGATTTCAAATGCTTCTAATTATCGGAATAAATTCACGCTATTCTTATGGGAAAAGTCATCCCTCTATATCTTTGAATAATTAATTAATTTTAGGATCTCTAGCTCAAAAAAATCTGTTCGGCTATTATCAAAATGTAGATTTATCTAAACTACTTGATATTTGTTTTTTAAACGTATCAAAGGGAAGCAAAATCAAACACAGTGCTATTAGTGATCATAACTTACAAGTAAATTTAGGTCGTACTTTACAACTTCTTGAATTAATACATCGGCCAAAGTTTTGACATCTACGCTGAATCTTAAATTAGCCTCAGTTGAATCTTTCACTTGAACAAGTGTTTGAAAGATACCAGTTTGCCTTTTAATTGTACGAGCTATTACGGCAGCTTTTTCGCTGCATAGAATTAAACTTTTTAACAACTGGATACACAATGGATCAGTTTTATTCATTTAGTATATAACTCTGCTTAGCATTCAAGAGAGATAACTGCAGTATATGGATATTAGCGAAGAATGTTTATAACAGGAAGCCTTCAGTTTTAAAATCCATTTTCGTTGGTATATAAACCATATCATATCTTAGATCTAAAATTGAAACGGAAAATTCACTCATATTAGTTGGATAATGAATCGATTAACAAAATAAAAGTAGAAACTCACTCTTTCCGTTTACACTAACCATATGCCAGCTATCTACAAAACGTGTCTACTGAGCATACAAATCTAACTGACAGCGCTTAAAACATTTTTTGCAACTGAATGACCTTCAAACCGAGTAGATATTTAACACTTTATTCCGAAATCGATAAGTTTAATGAAGAAAACCGGATAAAACATATAATAATTAACTAACACAATCAGAGAATTGTACTGTGCACGAATACGGTACTTGTACATGTACAAAACCAAGGAATCTTTGCTGTCTTTAGAAAAAACTCCAACGGAATTAGTGATGATTTACATTTATCCATATGGAAAAGTATATATCACCTGAATGTTCATAAAATACTCATAAAATACGCATATTATTACATTGGAGTTAATCTAACTCAAACTGAATGAAGCAATTTTATAATCTGTTAGAGAAACCATTATCTAAAATTTGTGTGATACTTGTGTATCATACAAATTTAGATGGTATTGGTAATCAAATCCAACAATGAATAGTTCCTTTTGTTAGTGAAATATAATAGCTTTTACTGCTCTTTAAGCATCGAGCATAATAGCTTTAGGAAATATCTCATCCACGTGATAATTGTTTTTGGTATAAAAATAATGTAATCCATGTGTATTACATATTCTACAATATATAATGGTTTGTCAATGGAAAAGGATAAGAGTACATTCACAAAAAAACGATTTATATCAAACAGAAACAATGTTCAGTGGTTATTCTGACTTAGAGTTGCACTGCTTCCAATATCACGGTGATGCGCGAGTTTAGGCAGAAAATGTGAAAAAACCGCTTAAAAAGTTAATGTTTGTTACATTCATTTAAATGACTTAACAATTCAGATTGATAATATCCTAATGCTTATTACGTAAACAGTCTTTCGTATAAATTTAATAACACAGATGGTTTTCAAGATGCAAAATGCTTAAAAGCTACTTTTAGTTTTCTGACAATGACTACAGAGGAAAAGTAACCTAGACTCCACTAAAATCACTAGATGAAACTGCATTTTCGAAAGCCTGAACTGGCTACAAAATATGTATCTGTGAGCATCGATTTTCGGGATTTTTCTGATGGGTTTAATAAAATCACTCTATATATGCCACAGGTATCCGGAATATGACATCGCTTTTACACGTAACACCATTATAATTGAAACATACCAGCCCGATGAAATCAGAAGTTAGAAGTAAAGTTTTGTTCTGTGAACGATTCGTACCACAGTGCATTCAACGTCAGCATTCATCGCATTGAGAACACCGAGTATCATTAGCTGACGGGCTTCAGTCGACTTTCAATTGTTAGCATATGAGAGTGAAGCCCTCAGCTCTGGGTGACATCGTTCTGCCAACTCGTTAGATTGTGAGTGGCGTGTGGTCGTTCGAACTAGAATCCACTGTCTAGCCACAGTTCTAGCAGCAATGTTTTTGGTGGATACTAATTTTGGTTATCGTGTGAAATGGCCCACACACCTTAAGAGATAAGAGTATTCGCTTGAGTCTGGTTATGGTCCTACAAAATTAAGGTTAACATGATCGTAACAAGCATCAGGAGTTGCGAAGCGCTAAAAGGAAGATTATTGTGCCTATTTATCTTAAAGTTTTCTCAACCCACACAGAAGCATGCACACTCCCTCACGTATTCATCCATATTGGTTCAGCTAATTCGTTCTACTATGAGAATGATGGTTGATTGGACTCATAGATGCGACCTTCAGTGCAATATATTGCGGACATTGCGTCCATAATGTTTCAACATTGCGCGCCAATTAAAATGATAGTGGTATTTTTCCTCGCTGAGTAAATTTTATTGTTTTGATCGTTTATTACCTATCAAGACTGCTGTTTCCACTTTAATTGAATTTATTTCGGTTAAAGTATTCGATTACAGCATCGTTTCTGTTTCGAAATTAGTTTGTCGTCGTTGTTTCAAAAAGGGCAGTGATTTTTTACTTGTGATAATCCTTGCTTCTGTGAAATTATTGCATCAAAAGCATTCTTGGTCTAAATCAAAGTACATTAGTTAGGGTTTGAAATCTTGTTAAAGTTTGTCTTGTAGTGCCCTTTGTACTCGTTGACTGACACAGTGTTCATACTGTGATCACAATGTGTTTTACACCATAATCTGACTAGGTTCGTTGATATTAGTCACAAATGTGGACAACCAAACTGTTTGTTCCCTGTGGAGGAAGGAATGCAGTGTGATGGATGCAAAAAGGAGTTTCATATGGTGTGCACCTGTTTAAGTCCCACCGCATACAAAAGATGTTCAAAGCCTAACTCACATTGGCTCTGCATGTTTTGCTGTGCGAATAAGACGTTACTAATACAGGAGGCTTTGAGCCTATTTGCTTTGGCCTGTAAGAAGAATGATAGCGCATGTGCTGATAACGTGGGCATTGAAAATGACGAATGTGTCAGAGTAGT